GGAGAACTGATGCAGAGAGCCTCAATTAATGGAGCCCCAATGGCTTGTTCCTGCAGCATTTTATTTCCAGAATGTCTCCTGAGCCACTAGCTTCACCACAAATCTGCACCCACCATCACCAGGACAAGAAACGGAAATCAAATGATGGGCTTAATAAACATTATTTTGTGTTTCCAAAACTGTACTTCTTCCAATCTGTGCCTGAGTGGGGAGGAAGAAATAGTGTTAACCTCTTCATTAGTCTATCCTCCCCCACCAGGCTTATTCAGTCCCATAAACAATACATATAATTACACCGAACAATTGTGTGTTTATTTCTATGTCTAAACACAGAGCTTGCATTTGAAAACAAGAGAACAGAAAGGAGAATGCACCCTGCTGTTTTTCAATTCTTTGTGTCAAACTCTTTCTCAGCCTAAATGCCTCTCTTGTGATCAGAAGATACGTATTCAGAGTATCAGGACTTGAAAAAACAACTTTTTGTAGAGGAATTGGTATTAACTTAGAAGTAAGACAATAATATATTTAAACAGCTTCTAGTCTGAGTAGGAACAAGTTATTTTAAACCATAGAGTATTGAGAAAATCATGAAAGGATGCTAAAACTAGTGAATGAAAATTAGTAGGGAATAAATTATTTATATAGTATCAGTCCCCACAAATTAGATATATATTGTAAAGGGGAGAATAGTCACTTAACAGTGGTAAGACCTATAGACACCAACTTTATTAAATGATCCCAGCTAACATCACCATTATCGAGACCAACGGACATTGGGAAAACTGACATCAGGTGCTTCCTAAAATGATGTATTGAGGTAGCTGTATCATGTCTGCCCCAAAATGCTTAATCTGAATCTAATCAAGAAGAAACGTCAAATAACTCAAATAGAGGACACTTGACAACATAATTGACCTATATTCTTCAAAGGTATCAAAATGCCATTAAAGACTGAAGAACTCTTTTCAGATTGAAGAAGAGCAAAGTGCAATTGAGTGGGTTTTAGTATATTCACAGTTGTGCAATCATCGCCACTATCTGACTCCAGGATATTTTTATCTCCCCTAAAAGAAACCCCTTTATCATTAGCAGTCACTCCACATTTCCACTCCCACCAACCCTGGCAACAACTAATCTACTTTCTGTGTCAATGGATTTGCCTATTTGTGAGTCTTGGTATTGTCTTCTTTCTTATGGCCGAATGGCATTACACTATATAGATATACAGGCAGTGCTTGGGTTACATCAGACTTGATGTACGTCGTTTCGCGGTTACATCACCATCTCCCATTTATTTATATAAAAAAAAGTTCTGTCACTTTGACGTATATACATATGTGCTTCATGCACAGTTCAATACCTGGTCAGGGCACATGCCAGGGTTATGAGCTCAACCCCCAGTAGAGGGCTTGCAGGAGACAGTTGATCAATGATCCCTGTTCCTTCTTGTCTTAAATCAATATAATTAATTAATTAAGTTCTAGTAGTGCTGGTTCAATTTTGCTGACTGCATTTCTCATGGTGTATCTAACACGTTCCTCTGCCCTCTGTATTTCCTGTAGTTAGATCTAGAGGTTTAATCTGCTTTGGGTTAGGTTTTCTTTTGGTAAAACTACCTCATGGATTATATTGTGTTTTCCTATTAGTAAGCACATAATGACTGGTATCTCTCTTAGGATCAAGTGTTGATCAATACTATATCCATTATTCCTTAGGAGTTACAATATAGTGATATTCTAACTTGGTCATTTCTTCATGTATTATCTGGAATACTTATAAAGAGCAGTTCTCTGCTTGTACTATTTGGCTACTTGGAGGGACAGTACCAGTAGAGGGACCAGGAAGGCAGCATACATAGCTGATTCTTTACCTTTATTTCTAAGCTTTCCAACTGAACTTGTTCACTAACATCTTGAAATGATCACTAAAATTTTTGAACACTACTATAGACTCATGGATTTAAAAAAAATTTTAATTCATTGAATTTTTTTAATCCTCACCTGAGGTGATTATTTTCCCATTAATTTTCAGAGAGAGTGAAAGGAAGGAAGAGGGGAAAGGAGAGAGAGAGAGAGAGAGAGAGAGAGAGAGAGAGAGAGAGAGAGAGAGAGAGAGAGAGAAAAGATACATTGATGAGCTATCTCCATCACTTGCCCCCACTAGGGGCAGGGAGCAAGCCTGGTTCAGTCCACGGCTGACGTTCTTACCAATGAGCAAAATTGGCCAGGGCCCGTTGCATTTTTTTAATGTTCAGATTGTCTCTCATTTGACCAGTGCAACCCTTCAACTTGGTTTCTGAATACTTTTGACAGCAGGTTCTTGGATAGCTTCCTTGCTAGTTCATATGACAGAATATTCTGGGTTTATCTTGTACACTTTTTTTTTTTTTATTCCAAATTTGGAAGCAACCATTTCCCCAAAGAGCCTCTATTTTTCCAGTGGGAAATGAACTTTGAAAATTATACTCTGGATGCTAATGGTGCTCATTTCTACTGGGTTTATTTTATCATTGTTTCTAGAACTTTTCAATGGCAGATCTATGAAATATGTAGACAAGGAGGAGGGAACCTCCATATAAAAATGCACTAGAGATTTGAAAAGATAGTTGCTATGTAAACTTGAAGTTGATTTTGCTATTAATACTATGGGGGAAGAGACTGCCTGGGAATGAAGCCAGTAGGAAGAAGACAGAGGCGAATGATGAAAACAGATGCTCACCTACATTTTTTTGAGCAAATATCTGGTCAGTTTCTCCTCTGCCTCTTAATCATATGAGCCAATACATTTCCTCTTTGCGTAAAATGCTCTAAAATCTTAAGCTAATTTGAGTTGCAACTATAAGAATCTGGATAATAGGGTATCATGCAAGGCTTGGGCGCTACTCCACATCCTTTTCCATAGGTGTCCTAGAGCTGGTTTCTACCAGCCCATTGTGCACATCTCTTCCCAACTCTGTCACCAATGGCAGCACATTGGAGGCTGGAAGTTGACCCTGGTGGGAGTTTTTATACCATGGATATTGGCCAACGTTACAAATCAGAGCTTCTTTCCTATCTTTAAAAGCTGGTTGCTAAACATTTATTCAGACACTACTATCGTGGTTTCTCCTTTTTCTTAAGCCCTACTCTAGTGACCACTTGCACACAGACTTCAACAAGTACCTCACCAAGCTTTTTATTTCCTGCCCTGGCTTCTCTAAACCAGTTCAGCACTTATGAGTGAGAGAAGCTAATGCCCAACGGAGCAACCATAGATGAATAAGGAACAGGACCTGAGAGATAACTGTTTTTCTCTTTCATTCCCAAGTTGGAAAATTTGACACCATAAACCGGGGAGCAAGATCTCAAATGCTCCCCCCGGTTGGACAATTTGGATATGAATTTCATAAGGCTTTTCAGATGACTGAGCAACCAGTCACCCTTAGTGATATCAACTTGATGATGCATCCTTGTGCTGGCTTTTCCTCCATCCCTGTTTGCACTCATGTCTCCTGGAGTCACATTCCCAATTATAATAAAAGCCTTGCCCATAAACTTTAATGGTAAGCTCTCATTTCAGGGGAATTGGGTTAAGATACCCAGTTACTACAAATATTCTTTATCTGCAGGTTATAGAATTAGCTCAAAGACACACAGTTGTGAAAAATGATGTAAACAGAGCCCTTTCAAAATGGAGTCAGAGCTGCCATCCCAGAGGAATTAAGTTGTACATCTTACCACTCAAACCATTAGAATTTTTTAACTGGGCAAATAACCTTTAAACAACTATTTGTAAAGCTAACAAGAAAGCCAACATCCTGGTTATGAGGACTGAAAATTAGGAACATTCTTTATCATTTGCATCGCCATGTGTAACTATAGACAACTTAGCTCATTTGCACCTTTAGAAAATCCTTCTTTCTACTCCTGGAATTATTTCCCTTCCCTTTTTCATAAACACTCCTTGCCTGCACCTCATAATCATTAGGACTCTATTTGGGTTTCTGCCTGAATCAGTGCTTCCCAAATAGCTATTCTTTGATGGCAAATAAAGATTTGTTGCCTTTCACTTTGGCTTTTTGTTTTTAAGGTTATCACAGTAAAAATAAAAAATAAAAAAAAAAAAAAAAAAAAAGATTTATTTCAGTAGTTCCCCTCCAGAAATACTTCTCCCATATGTATATTTTCTCTCAAGGCTGCCCACCCCAAATCTCTATCCACTATCATTTCTTGCAATGTGGTCTTAGTTGAGACTACCCCAGTGCGGTAATCATAGCTATTCTGTCAACAGACGGCCCCGAGTGGACACAGATGACACATGACAAATTTGGAAGAACACAGGGAGAGAGGGAATTTAATTGCATTTCCACATATCGAAATGTATTTGCATGTCTTTGGACAAGAATAATTTGTTTTGCTATCGGTTGTCTACAATCTATACACTTACAAAAGAGCTGCTAGACAATGGAAGTCACAGATACCCCATAGAATCAGATAACCCAGGAGTGTTTGGAATTTCTGCCTATTTTCCTATTGCAGGCACCTAGTTATCATTTTGCTCCATTTTAATGTCTTTCATATTTCCCCCTACATTTTGTAGTTGAACATTCTTATTTCACAGATAAAGAAAAGAAGGCCTAGATGAAAATAGCAGTCATAATATATTTGTCTTTAAGAAGGACAATCATGTGTGAGGTTCAGGACACTTGCTTCTCATGTCCTCCTTTCATCTCTATGTTCCTTTATTCCACAGGGACTGTGCCTCCTCCCACTGATCTGTGGCTTTTCCTTTCCTGATATCATCAACTAGCTAGCTTCCTTCTTATGCTGGGTCCAGGTGACAGTCTAGTTTGCCCAGTGACTTCACATAGTTGACCTCAGTCACTGCCATTTTATTTGCCAAATTCTGAATAAAGCAAGATCCTTATGTTGTTTCTGCACTGTGTGTACAAATTGCTGTCTGCAGAAAAGCCTGAGGTTTGTGATCAGAAGGAAAGAATTGTTTTGTTGCTGTTATTGTTGTTGTTTTTGTTCAACCATTTCATATATGTAGAGGACACAAATAAATCCTCCCTTTCAGATCATGGCAATTATAACCTGTCCCTTCAGCATATCCACTGCAATCTATAGTTAGGGGAATATGTGGTAGTCAAAGGGAAAGAAATCCTTATTTTTAATCCTACAAGCCCAAAGTAGGTTAACACTAAGTCTCTTCACACCTTGCCAGTTTCTCACTTTCTGTTTTTCCTTAAAAGAACTAAGCAGACTGCAAACCAGCAGGAGATTTCCTCATGAGTTAGCAGGGCTGCTGTGTCTTACTAACTAACCTGACTGTCAGTCCCCCTTTCCCTACTTTAAAATCTTCTACATCTTATAATATTCTGCCGGGGGCAACAACCTTCACAGAGTGGCCTGTAGAGTACAGAGGTTTTTGTATGTGTGTTTTTTTTAATTAATATTTTATTGATTTTTTACAGAGAGAAAGGGAAAGGGATAGAGAGCTAGAAACATCGATGATGAGAGAAGCATCGACCAGCTGCCTCCTGCACAACCCCACTGGGGATGTGCCCACAAGCAATGTACATGCCCTTGACCGGAATCAAACTCGGGACCTTTCAGTCCACAGACCAACGCTCTATCCACTGAGCCAAACCAGTTTCGGCAGAATACAGAGGTTTTGACATATATTGCAATACAGAAAAAATATGCTTTGGATCAAGAATAGTAGGAACATGGAATAAGCCAAATGCCATGACAGGAAATCAGATAGCAAGCCTTGTCAGTTTGCAAGTACACTGGGACCAGATGAAGGGAGAGTTGGCTAGGACCTCCCAGCGTTTGCTTCGATAGAGCAAGGTCCAGTTGCATCCAGGTTTATGAAATACTAGAGGCCCGGTACACGAAATTCGTGCACTCGGTGTGTATGTGGGGGGAAGGATCCCTCAACCCAGTCTGTGCCCTCTTGCAGCCTGGGAGCCCTCAGATATCCTTAGCACTGCCATGTAGGCAGGAGAGGCTCCCACACCACCGCTGCACTCACCAGCCATAAATTTGGCTCCTGGCTGAGAGGCGCTCCCCCCTGTGGGAGTGCACTGACTATCAGGGAGCAACTCCTGCACTAAGCGTCTTCCCTGGTGGTCAGTGCATGTCATAGCAGCCAGTCGTTCTGCCGTTTGGTCTAGTTGCATATTAGCCTTTTATTTTATAGGATGGCTGCAATCATCACAGGATGTTCAACAATAGCAAGGAGCCAGAACAATCAAATCCACAGGAGAAGGTATCTTGGTCTATTTCCATTTGCATTGCTGCTATAAATAGTGTGGCCTGGACTTTCTTGGTCCATTTAAGGAAAAGGACTTGTGATCCTATTGTTCTCCCTTCCACCTTATTGATAAATGAAAGGGCAAAGGTGGAAGGCATACTCCCTGTTGCCAAAGTTCTGAGACTAGACAGGCTGGACTGAGTAGGAGACACGTGAGATGGGCATTTTCCTGTGTGGATGGGGAAATCTCAAACAAAGAAAGCTGTCATAATGATTCTATCCTCAATATAGTAAAATTTGTGACAGGGTGCCACCTACTGGTCAATGGTAAATTTCTGTTTTCAAGTTAAAGGTGTAATGCATAATACAAGCAAAGTCACAGAGGTCTAAATTGGCGCTGTCCAGTACATCTGTAGTGTAAGCCACATGTGTGAGAATGGTATAGAACCAGGGACTGGGATGGGCATGTCTGAGGCCACCTGTGTCTTGGGACAGGTGGTAGCAATGGAAACCGGCAGAGGTCTTGAGAGGCATTTCCTGAGTATGGATGGTGAAAGATTATTCTGTATTTTGACACTAGATGCATGCAGCTAAACTGTTCGTCTGTCTAAGGATCTGTTGGATGATCCAGAGGCTCCAGGGCACTGAGCCTTGTTCTAGGTCCCCAGCTCTGAGTTCAGGAATGTTTTGGACCAGGCTGGGTTTACCTGACATCGGAGAGGGTGATGAATGAAGACTGTTCACACTGTGGGTACTTGAATGGTGCCTGATAGTACTGTTGCATATTGTTTAACCCCAGATTTGATGAGGATCACTGGCCCAGCTTATGTCCTGGCTGACATAGACACGCAGAGGGCTGGGCCTAAGAAGAGTTGAGCTTCCTAAAAGCCTAATGTGACCCAATTTTACTGAGCTGTTTCCATCTACAACTCACCTCACCACTAGCACACACGTCCCTGTGGTGAGATTTTTTCGGTACCGAAGTTAGCATTATACTCCAACCCAAAAAAATGCTGCTGATCATTATGCTGTTTTCTGACCCTGCTCATTTCCTTCTGGTTCCCCTAGGTATGTAACACCTGTTTGATTTACCCAGTGGGGTAATTGGACTTAGCTCTCCTTCAATTGGAGCCATCTAAGACATTCATCAATACCAGCCGACATGCAGTCCATGAGAAAATGAGGCTCCTAGGAAATTCCCATGTGCCTTGGGCAGACCAGCCTCCTCTCTGTTGGAATACTTTCAAAGAACTTCTTAACTATCATCGATAATGCAGGGACATAATTTAAAACAGTTGCTTAACTTCACCTCTTAATTTGCAATGGCCCAGAAGTCCTAAACACAAAAAGAACGTGAAACAATTCACAATTGGATTTACAGGTACAGACCTGCCTAATAAACTGGGATTTCCCAAAGAAGGCTGGACTGGAATGAGAGACAGCAGGTTCTGGAAAGAAAAATCACCGAAAGAGAGAACGCCTTTTTAATTACCTGGCATATCCACAATCCTAACTGGAAAACCATTAGAACTAATAACCAGTTCATCAAGGTTGTAGGAATGGGGTGTGCAGGTGGGTAGATGGGGAGAGATTAACCAAATAATTTATTTGCATTTATGCATAATCCATGGACATAGACAATAGTATGGTGAAGTCCCCGGATGGGGGACAGGTGTGGGGTGGAGCAGGTCAATGGAGGAAAAAGGCGGACATCTGTAATACTTTCAACAATAATGATAAATTTTTAAAAACCAACTATATTACTAGTAGAGGCCCTATGCACAAAATGTGTGCAAGAATAGGCCTTTGCAGCTCTGGCGGCTGCCTCAGCCCTTGCAGCTCCGACTTTGTCCCGAAGGTTGTCCAGAAGGACGTCTGGACAGTCGGTCGTTCCACTGTTCAGCCATTTGGTCAATTTGCATATTACACTTTTATTATTATAGATATGTTTGCAATGAACAATCTGAAAGACATCTATGACATGCTACAACATGGATGAACCTTGAAGATGTTATGCTAAGTGAAAAACAGCCAATCACAAAAGGTACACATTTTATGATGATTCTCTTTATATAAGATATCCAGAATAAACAGATCCTCAAATGGTCACTTTGAGACAGAAAGCAGATTAGTGATTGCCAGGGGTTGGGGGTTAGGAGGAATGGGAAATGATTGCTAATGGGTACAGGGTTTCTATTAGGTGTGATGAAAATGTTCTGGAGTTAGTGGTGATGGTTGCATAATTTTGTGAATATACTAAAACTCACCAAATTGTACACTTTAAATGGGTGAATTGTATGGTACATTAATTATATCTCAATATAGCTATTTTTTAAAAAAAGAAGGAAGGATGAACAAAGAAACTGGTGAACATGAGAATATATCTAAAACACATCAACAACAACAGCTAAATTAAGGGATTTAACAGCATAGTAAAATTATAATAACAGCCATTAGGATCGTGTGCTCCCAAAGACGTAAATGGAATAATTTTGTTGTAAAAGGTATAATTTCAAAAAGATGAAGAACTACAATTGGCTTAAACATCCTATATAATAAAAGCCTAATATGCTAAGTGTCTGGGTGACCAGTAGGCTATTCAAAGAATCAAAGCAAAATATGCTAATGATATTCTAAAGCCACTCAAACGCTCTCTATGATGTGCACGGACCACCAGGGGGCAGACAGTTAACTGGCTGACCAGTTACTATGATGTGTACTAGCCACCAGGGGGCAGACGCAGCAACCAGTAGATTAGCTTGCTGCTGGGGTTCTGCTGATCGGAACTGAGCAAGACAAGCCAGACACACCCTGGAGCCCTCCCGAGCTCCCTTCCCTGCTAGCCAACCTCCCACACCCCTCCCCACCCTGATCAAGCACCTGTGGGTCCCTGGGCCTGGCCTACACCCTCTCACAATCCAGGACCCCTTGGAGGATATCAGAGAGCCGCTTTAGGCCTAATCCCACAGGCTAGGCCGAGGTACCCTATTGGTACACAAATTCGTGTATCAGGCCTCTAGTTGAATATATAAAAAGCTATGAATTCAGATAATTTTTCAGAAAGGAAATAATCCTGCAGGTTTCTGGAACATCAAACTTATTCCTCTGAAAATTGATAATCATAGGGAAGGAACATTCATCCTGCCTTTCTGGTGTAAACAGAATTTCAGTGTAACCAAATATCCCTGTGGAAAAGGGAAAGATCTTCAGTACAGAAGAATTCTGCCTCAGGCTGGGAGTAAGGTAAAGGTGAGTGGGTGCCTAAAGTATAAAATGTAAGAAGGCACTCAGCCCTGATTCTAGGTAACAAATGCAAAGGTGTCCAAATTAGAAAAATGTAAGAGTTAAAAGGCTTATAAGAAATACAAGAGACATAACAATCGAAATGATAACAGAAATTTTAAAAAAATTAATACAATAGAGGAAATTTGAGTATGGCTTGGTAATTACATATTAAAAGAAATATTTTTAATTTTGTTAGATGTCATCATGGCATTGTGGTTAAGCAAGAAAATATTTGGATTTTTCTTCTTGAGTTGCATACTGAAGTTGTTTAGAGATGAATCACATGATGTCTGGGATTTGCTTTAAAACACTTCAACAGCAAAACATAACGAGGAGAAAAGGATAAATGAAAGAAGTACTAGTAGATGGTAAAATGAAACAAGGGGGTGGACACATGGAGTTTGTTATGCTTTTTACTTTTGAGTATTTTGGAAAGTTTCATAATTAAATTCACCCCCAAAAATATGGGTACAACATTATTCTAAAGAAACTCTTTTAGCCAAAACCAGTTTGGCTCAGTGGATAGAGCGTCGGCCTGCAGTCTGAAAGGTCCCAGGTTTGATTCTAGTCAAGGGCATGTACCTTGGTTGCAGGCACATCCGCAATCGGGGGT